TCTTTCCCCACATGGATGATTTATCTCATTTTCAGTTGGTTTATCATGGTGTTATTCCATCATCCTATCAGATCTTCTTTTGTCAGCATTATTGTATCTGGAAAATGTCACTTTAAACATTAAGCTCTTAACGAAATGCTCAAACCTGGGCAAAATGCATTAGTTCTGTTTCTCTCTTTTTGAAACAAAGCCTTTATCTATTTTAATGAAATTTTCTTTGAAAACAAAATTAACCTAGAGTTATATCCTGAGTTTCCTTCCAACATGAATAAATAGATTTCATCATAACATTCTTTTGGGGATAGGATCTGGAATAGATAATGCCAAGAGATAATTATTCAGTCCACTTCTTTGTGCGTGCCCTGCACACTAATTTTTTTTCCACATCAAGAAACCTACATTTGAAGGTGTGATGTGGGACATTAAAACCTACATTTGCATGAAATATGGTTTCCTGAAATTTCCAAGGAGTTTCTACTCAAGAGGTGTTTCAGATATAAGCAGAACTAGTTCTACTTCCAAGAAACCAGAAATATTCAGGTTTTGCCCCTTATAAATTCTCATGTCTCTAGTCCAATGGAGCTCAAGTTCAAATGCTGTGAATACCAACCCCTGTAGGGGGTTCTTGGGCACAAATGTCCAGCAGTGGCATTTGGAAAGGGTGCTTTATCTCAATGCTAATATAGCTCCAAACATGATCATGTCTTTGATCACCCTGGTAGACATTGACATCAGACATTACTATGGGTCATGAAGAAGAGGAGCTGAATGCTTCCAAGTATCAGAAGCATTAATGTAGAGTGCAGAAAGTAGCAGAAGCCTTCAGGAACCTGAAAAGGCGAAGTCCAAGTCATGCTGAGATTGTGTTCTATTAGAACTATAGAAATTAACTGGCTCAATTACAAATTACTTTGGCAATGATTATGAAATTATCTGGGCTAGCCATTGAAGAGCTATCTTCATCACAGAAGAATTCCTGTTCTCCCTTAATTCTAGGCCTCCTTTAATTAATCAACAGGCTTGAAGTAAATCATCCCTTAACTGAAGAGATGAAAAAAGCCCTAGTGGAACTAAGCCCATACTTAAAAGGGACGTTTTAAAAATCTGTAGAAAAGTTGAATTAAAGTATGAGTTTATTCTGGTGCATTTTTTTCTGAAATGTATGTATAGTTTTTTTCATACTATGCATGTTCCATGGACTGTTTGAAAATTCCTCATATATGAGAGAGGGTGTTAGGAAGAATACGGAAAAAAATGGGTTTTCAGATGTTCATAAATCTCAAGTACGAGGCAGAAGTGTCAACTGTAAAAAGTGTTTAAGGATATAAATACAGCATATGATTTATTGAGACATTATTTTTAAATTATGAAAACCACAGCCATTTCAACTGGCCTAGAACTAAGTCCAATTACAACATGGTTGACACTCCCATTAGGGAAAAGTAGTTTGTTCTTGGCTGAATACATAGGCTATAGCTATCAGTGGGGAAATTTCACTGAAGAAACTAGAGGACAACTAAGCCATAATAGAAAAAAGAAGACAAATTATCACTGAAAGGAAGAATGGATTTATTTTAGGATGAATTATAATAAAATTACCTTGAAAAATATAGAC